CAAAGAGTGTAGATAGTGATGTGGAAAGTATGTAGCTGAGCCCTGGGCTTCTGGAATTTAGCATTCAGAGCAGAGAGCTAGCAAAGAAGACTGAAAGTAAAGGAGGAAGAAAACCAGGAAGGCATGTGCCCTGTAAGTACCATACAAGCCAAGAAAGATAGCATATAGTGTTGCTGGAAGATCAAGTGACAAGCAAGAACAAGTGCTCTGTTTTTTCTTTTCCTTCATAGTTGATATGAAAAATATGAAATTTGGAATTATTGAAATTTAAAAATACATTTATTATAATGTGAAAATTTGTTACTTATAACAACTTATGAAGATTTCTGTTCATTTTACAATAGGAATTTAACTACATAGACATGCAGTTTATATTTGCAAATGCCATTGTTTTATTAAGAAAATAAGCCGGAATAAGAAGTAGGAATTCTCTGGATTTATCCTATAATAGTTTTATAATATATGTATGTTAGTTTTTTTCTAATACTACATATACTGCATTAATCCTTTGGTTAAAACTGATCTTCTCTATTAAAAAATAAAAAACAAAACATTTTGCAGGTAAACTGGGAGATAGTAGGACCCAATTCTCAGGAAACCTTACCACCACAGAACAGAGACATTGCAGACCCAGTGAGCGGATCATTCTTTTTTGGAGATGGAGAAGATGGAGTGAGGACCATAATTCTGGCAATCTATCCTCATGAAGAAATTGAAGTTGAAAAGACTTTTGTAATTAAACTTAAACTTGTGAAAGGAGACGCTAACTTAGACTCCAGAGCTAAAGATATTACATTAACTGTAAGTCTGACTTTACCTACAAAGTTTCAGATTTAATAGATTTATCAAATACATTTATAGTGTTTGAAACTCTATATGCTTGTATTGAATTGAAAATTATGAAGCCATAAGAAGTTATAGTAATTCCAATAGATCAAACCTTTTTATTTTTATGTTTGTTCATGACATAGCCTGATTATTAGCAATTTTTAAAAAGTTTTAAGAGAGTGATACTTATTTTACAATCTTTGAGAAAATTTGTTTGGCAATATTTGCACTTTTACAGAGGAAGTATTTGTTATGTCATCTTTGTCTTCAAAATAAAGAAAAATTATTAATGTGCTATAAATCAGGTTTTTTGAAGAAAGAATGCACTTGTTTGATTAACACAATGATTTGGTATTATATTAGACCTGGATTCTATATATGTGATATGAATCACCTAGTCATGAGGGCCAGAATTACTGGGAATTAAGTAGCCCCGTATTAGTAAGCTACTGAAAACAATGTACAGAGAGAGAGCACTATTTGATTTTTTTGTTTGTGTGTTTGGAAAATACTCTTGTTTGAGAATCTACTTCTGTCATAGTATTCTGAAGAAAGAGAACCAGTAGGACACATACACATAGAGTGATTGCAAAAGAGAAAGAGATTTTAAGGAACTGTCTCCTGTGATTATGGGAGTTGGCAGGCAGGAGACCCAGGAAAGAACTGAAGCTGTCTGTGGGTCTTGAGTGGGAATTCGTGGGGCAGGCCAGCAGGCTGCAAACTCAAGCAAGGTTCCTGAGTTACAGTTTTGAGGCACAGTTTCCTTCTGCTGCAAGAAACATCAGTGTTTGCTTTTCAATTCTTCAGTTGGCTGGAAATGACCACCCACTATAGAGGCTAATCTCCTTTATTTAGAGCCAGCTGATCCTTAAGGTTAATCATATCTATAGAACACCTTTGACAACATCCAGACTGTTGTTTGAGCAAACAACTGGAGGTGTAGTCCTTCCTATTTGAGGCATAAAATTAAGCAAAATTACAGGGCATTTTTGCCTCTGTCCACTTCATGTCATAGCTAGAAAATTAAGATGAATAAAGCAAAAATTAGGTATCAAATTCATATCATTTTCAGGTTTTGCAAATTATAATTTTCTGCATACTTGTTCCCATTATTTTTATGGAATAAAAACCTATTCATCTTAGACAACAGTTAGTATAGTAGTTTACTCTCTTTTTTTAATCAAGTAGGTAAGCATATTATAGTCAAATGTTATTTCTATGTTTCTTCTATTTTCTCGGCTTATTGGTGCATTAATATGTTGGATGCTATAATTTCATCATAGTTGTTTATTTACTCTGCTCTTTTAATGGTCTTTATTTATTTATTTTTTTAGATACAAAAGTTTGGTGATCCAAATGGAGTTGTTCATTTTGCTCCTGAGTCTTTATCTAAGAAGACTTATGTGGAGCCACCAGGTTTGGAAGGACCACTGGTCATCACTTTCTTTGTCAGAAGGGTAAAGGGCACCTTTGGAGAAATTACGGTATTATTTTTCATTTGATTTTTCCAAGTACACCAATTTACCTATTGAATGTGGTCAAGAGGGACAGAGAGCCTGCATTTTTCTTTAAAGTTTTTGAAAAACTAAAATTACTTGGGTTTTTGAGATAAATTAAGAGGCTTCATTTAAGCACCTCTGGGCTCTCCAGATCTCATCAAATCTGGTTTTCTTTCTGAATTCAATATGATTACAGTTAGTGTACGAAGGACCTTTCTCAGACTTCATTGTGAAGGACTGAACTATTTTGTATTTTATTTCTTGCTATAAATATGGAGCCTTTTCTGTGTAAGTCTCTTGATTTTTTTAGAAATTACTTATTACATTCTTTAAGGCTTTATTTATCAACAGGATATCTCCAGTTAGCAAGTGTTTTTTAAGGGGTTGCATTTGTGTGTTTATTGATATAAACTGAGGATTCTCTTAGAAGTTCTCTTGGTATTTGGCTAAAGTCAATGACAGGTATTTTTTTTGCCAGAAAAATATATTTTGTGAAATTTCTGCATACAGTTAACCTCTCTTCCAGTAATGGATATTAACTGGTACTTCTTCAGTTGAATTTTTATAGTTTGGAGTTCAACAATGCTTGGGAATTAATGATAAATTCTTGATAATTTATAAATATTCCCTTTATATTTAAAATAAACAAAATCAAATTCTGATGTGAATCATCAAATTTTCTACTTATTTTTATTTTAAAATATCATATATGGTTCACTAATTAATGTAATTATGGAATTGGTGCGCTAAAATTAGTTAAATTGCTTTTCTTTCTTCAAAATATTTGATTATTTTAGAAGTAGGTCAAATAGTGAGAATTTTAAATCATGTTTTGCAAATTACAATGAATGCCTGAAGTGATTCATATACTACACAAACTTACATATACTTAGAGGATTTGGCTTTGAATGTAATGATGCACAACAAAATTTATTTTTGTACTTTATAAAGGGATATTTAATTTATTTGGTTTAATATAGTGGATTATCTAACTTTGTTGGAATTTTTCCCTTTTATTTTAGATTTACTGGGAATTAAGTAGTGAGTTTGATATCACTGGTGACTTTATTTCCACAAATGGATTTTTCACCATGGCTGATGGAGAGACTGATGCAAGCTTTGATGTTCATTTGCTGCCAGATGATATACCTGAGATAGAGGAGGACTGTGTGATGCAGCTAGTTTCTGTAGAGGGAGGAGCAGAACTGGATGTGGAAAAATGCATCACATGGTTCTCTGTGTCTGCAAGTGATGATCCACATGGAGTATTTGCCTTGTATCCAGATCACCAGTCAATACTTATTGGACAGGACCTTATTAGATCTGTCCAAATTAATATCACCAGGCTTGCTGGCACATTTGGAGATGTGGCTGTTAGATTTCGAATATCATCTGATCATAAAGAACAGCTAGTTGCTACAAAAAATGCAGAGATGCAGCTGGTGGTTCAAGATTGTGCCAGATATAAAGTTGACATTGTTCCAATAAAGAATCAGGTTTGTGATGTCCTTATTATTCTTTTAGGGAGTCTTTGCTTACCTCATTATTACTTATGAGTCTTGCTTAGACATTTTAACATATCAATGAAAAGGCCTTAGGGAATGCATAGTAATTATTGGACAATGCTTTTGTAGATTATAAATGACTAAGTATATTTGTCTAGATAATAGCAGGGATTATTCAATACTTACATAGTTCCAGGATAGTATAGTGAGAGAGACTTATTCTTGCTCTCTGGAACTTGAAGGGCCTGCATTAAGTATAGGAACTGATACCTGCTTTTGTCCTTGAAATTTTGGAAATCAGTATGATTTTTTTGAGAGTATTAAGAAAGAGAGAGTAGCGCATCTCTCTGCCATCATTTGAGCAATAAAAAGGCCTAAATTTCCTGTGGGTCAAGTAGATACTCCAGCAGTCTTTCTCAGTCTTTGAACCCACAGAAAGTGATTTAAGTGACTGTTTATCTTAATCCTTACAAGGATGGTGCAAACCACATCAGTCTCTATGATAGGAGAGAAATTATTTAATTGAATTCTCTTATGATTATGAAAGACTGCCCCAAAAGTAGCCAGATTGCAGTCACCATGTGAAGAATCAGTAGGGTGCATTGTGAAAAATGGGGTGAATCACAAAGTCATCAAGAGAGTAAGTTGTCTCTTCTGAGGAACACTGAGGAGTGGAATTCTGAAGCCTTTGAGGAACACCCAAATTGAGGCCATGAAGTTGTATCAGGGATATGGAAGGCCATGCTGAAGAACATGGTCACTGCCTAAATATTAGGGCGCTGTTTTCATGGAGCTGTGGTGGCTGTCAGTGTTGGCCAAGAAAGGAGGATAGCAGAGAGACAAGGTTTTTGTCTTAAAGAGGCCTTCCTCTTGTCCCAAACCTGGAAGTGTCAGATGACTGATGGGAAGGTCCTGGGGCTGAGGTTTGGAGGAGTACTGAAATCATAGTATGACCTCTTTCTCTTTGTAGATCCTAATCAAGCAAGAACTATCATAAACAGGGAGCTTGGATTGAATGTGAGATTGCAGTTTCAATTTATGTATGCCTGGTCTTTTATATTCCTAAAAATGACAGAAAGTTTTGAGGTTTACTTTCAACAAATAAAGGGTGGTGGAAAGAGACTACACAAAACACAAAGCAAGAGAGAAATGATGTAGCTTCTTATTTGTTTCATCCATTTTATATAAAGTTGCAATCAATAGAAGAAAGGTGGTCATTCAGAATAAGCAACAAGTCCATTACACTAATTCATGCTTACTGTGTAAGCTTTTGATCTTTTGTGCACCTAGGTCTTTAACTGTTTTTGGTGTTTGATACAAGAGAAAAATGGAGGCTTGTTTGTGAGACGTGGGGTTCATAATTATTACTATGAGCCTGTAGTTTTTTTTTTTTTTTTTGAGAAACTGACTTGAAGTCATGGCCCTGATTTATAAATTTCTAAACTCCAAATCCAAAATAGTGCAATACTGGGTAAAAGAGTGGGACATTAAGTTAACCAGAAAATCATTGTATTAAGTCTCTTTTACAAATTAGAAGAAATTTTCAAAAATACATTGTGCCTAAATTATATAACTGGAAAAATTCTCCAACACATTCATAACATCACATTCTGAACAGTCAATTATAAGCTGCTAATGAATACTAGGGGTTATTCTTTAACTTTTTAATGAATAGATTTGTATCATTTTATATATTGCATTAATTTGCCAACAAGCCTTCCACAGAGAAGATTATTGTATTATTTTGTTAACTGATGTGTACAGTTGAAAGTTGCACTCACCTAAAATATATGATATATATTACATAGACTAAGACATTTGATATGCCTGGCTATTAGGTAGCTTTTTGTGGTACCTAGATCACTTTGAATGATAGTAGTTCTTTCTTTTACTTGGACAGCATAATGGCATAGTTTATGAAGACACTTAGATTTCCTAATACCACATTTGAATTATATATAGTGTTCTTAAAATCTTCTTTGAAACTAGTTTGTTCTTATGGTTTCTAATTTCTAATGAACAGAAATAAAATTTGCTAGTTCATGCATACTGAGAAGCTTGCTATATTTTCTTATTATAACTTCTTTCATTAACCTATTTCAAATGCATGGGTTCTTTCTTCTTCACTCCTATAGTTGAGGATGTGTGGTATAAAATTGCACATAATTAGATATTGGTGAGTTAGTTTTTCAAAGTAACTGTTTGGATCAAGATGCAACATGCTTATAAAACAAGGGCAGGATTTTTTTAAGGATCCACTTCCTTCCTCCCATCCGAGATATGATACATTGTTTTTTGAGGTTTGGGATATTATTACACAATATAGTTACACAGCACATAGTGCAGAGTATGTAATTCTCCTTGCTCCATACTTCTGGGTAAAAGTTAGGATTTCAGACAGGTCAGGATAGGTCAACCAAAGGGAAGACAACCAAGGCCATGACATGTTTAGTCTGTTGTGATGTGGCTACTTTCAAGTGGGTCTTTGAACAAGGAAAGCTTCTGCTAAGACTCTTGATGTAGGTTTAAGACCTGGACCATGGAGTTTAAACTGTTACCACACTTGTCTAAGAAGTGGGTTCTTGGATGAGGCACACACTGACTGCAGGAACCATTGGTTCACTGAAGGAACATGTCTAGGTTTAAAGGGCTTAAGTGGGAATGAAGGAGGAGATTTACCTTTGTGGTTGGGTCATTTTTTGAGCACTCATCTCTGTGCTGGTGTTTATGGGAAGCAGAACTGATCAAAGATGATTGAGACACAATTCCTGTCATCCTGGTCCTTCTGTCTAGTGTAAGAGAGGCTCACTAACAACCAATTTAAAAAGTATGTGGGTGCACAGTGTTGGAAATGTGCACTGAATATCATGGGACTACAAATTCTTTCTGTTTGTGCCCAAAAGGCATTAAGAATGATGAGAAATATATAAAATAGCACTGACGAGGTAGTCTTGGATCAGGGATATGGAAGGCCATGTTGAAGAACATGATCACTGCCTAAAATTTTCAAGTTCCTTTTCAAACTCATCTAACCACTCTTCTGTGGGTAGACCAGTTGTTCCTCAAATCTGTTGTGACCACAGTTCAATTTTAATGTTTAATTCCTGTACCTTGAAGAACTGCTGCATCACACAAGTCTGGGATGGGCCCATGAACAGAGAGCTAAGAGGAAAGGCATCAGGGACTCTGTGCTTATGATGACACCTCATCCTTCATTCTTTAGAAAATGGGAATAAATTATCACTAGCTATCCAGACAGGTGGGGTACACATGATTAAAGTTTAATATTATGATTTGTTTCCTTAACATTTGAACTAAAATTCATGTTTAGTTATGTAATTTCTTTTCACAGTATGACATTGAACCAACAAATATTAGGCGAGTGCTCTACCACTAAGCTCTCCCCTGGCTCAGTAGATGTCATTTGGAAAGAATGAAACATCTTTTGCCCTTAGGTTGCACATCATTTGAAACTGCTATGGTGTACCCTTTGTACATTTGAGGAAATGACACATGTTTAAGTTCATTATATTTGAAAGAAGAAGAGACTGCATAGAAGTGGTTGCTTTTATATTTAACAAAGATACAAAATTTTTTAGGAATAGTTCAGGTTATTGGACAACTTGGGGTTAGCCATTACCAATAACAATGTTTCTATGTAAAATTGTATTATAAGTTTAAAAAATACTTTTAGTGTAACATCAGTTTGTAAGTTCAGAACTTCCCCTATTTTATTAGACTTTAAAATTTTGTCCACTGGTAATTTAATACATGATGTTAGGAATTTTTATTTATCCAACATTCAAATAATCAAGATACCTAATTAATTGTCCATTTTGAGTAAATATCATTAATTCTTTATGAATTAATGAAGAGGAAGAAAGTGGGTTTTGCTGGGTTTCAGGGCCTGATAATATTCAACAGTGTGCTCTTTCCGTTCCCTTGACACATGATTTCTTCACCAACACTGCTACTTAATTCCTTTTTGAGACTATTTGAGTACACATGGAACATTTGCAAGTTTTTATACTATGCAACGACTACTCCTCACCTCACACTCTAAATGCTGGAGGTTTTTTTAAGACTAAGGTCACACATTGATGAAATTGCTACTAAGGAAACCTCAGGCAGTGTGCTAAAGGCTCACTATATTACTTGGAAAATCATTTCTTAACAACTAAAAAAATGTAATTGATGCTCTTGGTTTCTAGGTCTTTCTGTCACTGGGCTCCAATATCACCTTGCAGCTAGTGACTGTGATGCTCCTCAGTGGAAATGTCTATGGAATGCCAACCATTCTTCATGAAGCAAAATCTGCTGTGCTTCCAGTCCCTGAAGAAGCAGCCAATTCTCAGGTAATTGGCCCTGGTGTGGTACTGCAGCCGACCAGCAGAGGGCAGCTTCACAAGAAGGACCAAGTTCCTAGAGAGTTTCTTAATATCTACTATTCAATCTGAATAATCCTGTGAATATCAAAGTTGACATAATAATAGAAAAATGATATAAAAGTAATTGTCAACTTTCAATACTAGTTAGGAAATATGTTTACTTTTTTAGGGTTTTAGAAAATTTTTTATCTTGTAGAATTTGAATGTAAGTTGTGGAATTTTAAAAATAACAGTCAACCTAAAGTTGAAATGCCCAAGTCTTTTTTTGATATCAACTATTTACTATTATATACTAAGTATATACTAATTACTTAGTATATACTTAGTATATAAGTATATACTAAGTAATTAAAATTAGAATGAATATTAGTGAATATTTCAGATCTTTTCATGTTTGTCTTTGCCATTCAGGCTTTGGTTTACTGTGCAAGTTTGTGCTGACTTAGACAAATGCTAGAAGGCTTTCTGTGATATGGTTGCACCCAAGTATCTGAGTTGTCCAAGTTCATCTCAGGAAAAATTATTGCCCAATCATTTCAGCAATTTGAAGAAGAACAAAGGCCTTACTTTCTTTTATTTTGATTCTGTCCATATAAGACAAAGCTAGGTCTGCTGTCTATGGCTATGGCAACATGATGTCTGTTTGAAGATGTTATGAGATGTAATTCCTCCTTGCTCCTTCAGATGGGAGCTGAAATGACAAGCCTGGCTCCAGATGCTGATGTGGAATCTGTGTGGTTGAATGGGTAGGAATATGGGCAGATACAGTCTCTGGCCATTACAGAATGCTCTTTAGCTACTCTTTCCTGGGTATCTTCTTCATAGCAAGTGCATTTGCTCTGTCCTCTAAAGTGGAATCCACCAGCATTAAAAATATTGAAAGGAACGGTTTTGTTTTCTTTTGTTCAAGAATGAGTAAGGGAATAGAATTAACTGAAAGTCTCTGAAACATTGTTGGTTTTTTGTGTTCACTGGTTATTATTAAATAAATTCATTTTATCCCAAGCCATTCATTTGGAGTAGCTAAGTATTTCTTACTCCTTAACTGTACACAACACTTTACCATCCACCCTGAAGGGCAACATTATTTGTGCAATGTATCCTCTGTACTCCTGCCAGTATTTACATGGTGTGTGTATGTGTGCTTGTGATGTGACTAGGATATGTTCCTATAGTCCTCTAGCCATGTAGCAAGCATGATCTCACTCAAAGCTCTTGGCAGTTGCTAACCAGAGATCTTGGTGACAGAGACTCTAGACTAGTGTCAAGTAAAAGTTGTCACTGTTGTTTTCTCCTCTGTGATTCCAGAAGCTGTCTTTCAGCATCCTCCCATACTCTTCTGCTATTCTTCTTTCTAATTTTAAAAGGGAAGAGTAAGTCTTACAATAAAACCATTGATCAAATTATATTCCAAATTTACAGTTATTGAAACCAGAAGAGGTAATCTGAGCTGTCTGAATCACAATGTGAAGCTAGAAATCTGGTTTTATTTTAACTCATTGACTAGAACTTATTTCATCTATAAATCACATGTCCTGGGATGTGATGCTTGTGAAAAGGACAGTTATTTTTTTAAAAAAATCTTTGACGTTTTCTGATCTTCACAAAAAGATATCAAGTTGAATCAAAAAATTGAAAACCTTAAGAGAAGGTCCAGTCCATGATGCTCATTTTGTAAATGAAGAAATATGTTGTTACATCTTAGCAAAAGGTTGGATTTCAGTTTTAGACAAATCAGGTTGTTATATTAAAATGCCATTTAATTTTTTTTTGCTTTCATTTAATTATGGTTTTATTTATTTTTTGGATATTGTCCAATGAGGGAATTGCATTTTATTCAAAAAGAGAAAGCTATAGATTATAATCTAAATTATGAAGCAGAATAAATTTTCAAATATGAGATTTTATTTCTTAAATCTTTTTCAATTGAATATATTGTAAAAAAGGAAATATATAAACAAAAGGAAATTTGACATTTAACACTTCAAATTCCCTGGAAATTTTCAAATAAAACATGAAATAATCTAAACATGTTTTTCTTCAGGTTGGATTTGAATCCACTGCTTTTCAACTCACGGATATCACTGCTGGCACAAGCCAAGTTATGATTTCTAGGACAGGAACATATGATGCTCTCTCAGTGACCTGGACCACAGGATATGCTCCTGGGTTAGAAATCCCTGAGTTCATCACTGTTGGTAACATGACCCCAATACTGGGTGAGTTGTAGTGTTTCTAGGATCAGCCTATAGGATAGGCAGATGTGTAACTGGCCAATTTCTTGGGTCATCCTTCCTCTGGACTCTAAACTATTAGCTTCCTAATATAGTATTTCCATATGTAAGTGATCAGAATTGTAAGAGCAGATTGGTGAGGAGGAGGGAAACTTTTTTTGAGACACATTGAAGACTTCATACCTTACCTCAAAACAGTGGTCACTAAGCAGAATGCTTTGCCAGTACATTAAGAGTTTGTTAAAAGTAGTTCTGAGTACCTTATTTGGTCCATATGGTAATTAAAAAGATGTAACTTTGCATTAATTTACATGTCCACTTGAATATTTCTAATAGAACAACTGTGGTTACTTTACATACTGAATTTTAAAAATTATATCATTAACTTTTTGAGCAAGATGTAAGCATTAGATGGTTTGACCTCTGACGTGTTATACAGAACCCACTCCAAATCCTTGTGACGGCAGTTATAAAGGAGATCTCAGTGGACTCAGAATCTTTGTACTTCCCCCTCCACCTGTCATTTATTTACAGTGTCCTCCTGGTCACCAGGCAAATACCATGTACCATCAGTCATAAATGTAGTGAATCCTGTGTAAGAACTGAGATCCACAGTCTCTCTGTGAAGATGGAAAGATTTTCATTTTCTCAAGTTCTCAGCCAAAAAATGGAATAAAAACCTGAAATCCTTTAGATGAGGGTGAGAGCCCAGGACAGAAAATGACAATATTGACAGGCCAGCTTGCAACCCAACAGGAATCCCAGTAGTTCAGAGTGAATTTAGATGCTTGGTTAAGAGCCACCATAGCATTAGAACTGCCTTGGTTACTGGGGTTTCCATAGCCACGGGATAGGTAATGTTGATATAATGTATCAAGTACTTCTTCTGCTTGATTTTCCTTTTAGCACATCCCCTAAATTAAAGCTATTTCATCATCTTTTTAATCTATTTTCTGTAATAACACTTATTTGTTACTCCCCTACCCTTTCTGTCAATTTTGGTGATATGCACAGCTCCTTCTATTCTATCTATCTATTTACTTTTGTTCTGGTAACAGCTTAGATAATTTAAAAATATGTATCTGTGAATACATTGCTCTTTAAGTCTGTGTATGTTACTGTGTTTACATATGAAATTAATATTTAGAAGTTTTATAATAACTTGATTATTTTAAAATTACAGAAGTTCTCCCAAATAGATTTATATCTTTAAATAGGCTTGATTAGCTTTTTTGAGTTTTTCTAATAAATTTGTCAACAAAATGGAAAATAAAATATAATGAACACCCACAAACTCACTGACTAGATTTAAGTTATTCTACCATATTTGTAACATTTATTTTTTCTGAAGTAACCTAAAATAACATACATTCATTGTGATATTTTGTCATAAACTACTTCAAGACACATTTCCAAAGTATCCTGGGGTCAGTATTTGAACCAGTGCCTGACCCTTGACACTGAGTACTGGTCGACTCTTGCCTAACACTATTCTCTTTTCACTACTGGATTTGGCAGTTAAGCTGGGGCAGGGTAAGATAAGTGATGAATAGACAGGGACTGAAAGTTGGGTTTATGTGGTTAGGGCAGCTTCTGCAAGTTTATTTATATACCTTTCCCTCCCCCAGTTTTTAATATGTTATCTTCCAAAATTTTGGAAAAGAAAATATTTCACTACATGTGTAGGAGTCAAATTCCAATTTAAGAACCTAAGAGCAAGCCTGCTTCACTTTTCACATTTGTTTCAGGGAGCCTGTCATTTTCCCATGGTGAACAAAGGAAAGGAGTTTTGCTGTGGACCTTCCCCAGTCCTGGTCGGCTGGAGGCCTTCGTCATTCACCTGTCAGGTGTGCGGAGCAGTGCTCCAGGTGGAGCCCAACTCCGGTAAGACCAACCTGATTCTCAACCCAGAAATTCTCTGAGGAATGGTCTGGGGTATCAGTCACTACAGAGGAAAGCACAGGGGTCACTGACCTTGAAGCAGATGCAAACCATTTAACTGTAAAACAACATAGAGCCTGCATGCCAAAGACGCCGCCTGGGAGGCTGGGTCTCAGCAGCCACCACTCTGTTGCTTTACAGAACTCATCATGACCTTTAACTTGAGAGTGGTCACCCTGAATTCCATCTGCAGTAGGAACTGTGGCGTCAAATATGCTTGTTTTACAGGAAACTGTCTTTTGCAAAGCTACTGAAAATACCTGATTTCCCCCAAGTGATAACAAATAAGAATAAAACATCATAGTAGTGTAATAATGTTACTTATTCAATCAAGTAGCTCTTTGACTTTAATTTATTTCATTTTTTGATGTATCTATTGTAACTATTCATATGGAACCAAGCATATTTGCAATGAAATATATCCCGCCTAAAAGCAGTTTATTTTTCTCATGCCTGAGATGCACTTGGCCAGAACAGCAGAAGGCAGATCTGAGAACCACACTTATTAGTTCTGGCTCTGCCACTGATTTGCTATGTGACTTTGGGAAAGTTACTTGGTCTTTCTGTTCCTCAGTTTGCTTATTTGTAAATTGAGGAAAATATGTGCACTAGACTGTTGTGCGTGCACACACTTTTATGTGGGAGGCATCTGTTGGTGAAGTCAAACATGGCTTTAGATTACACATTATGCATATGTCATTTAAAAAGAAATGGTTGTCCAGAGAACATATTTAAAGGTCATAAATTCAAATGCCTTTAACAACACCAATAATAGCTTTCAGTGTTATAGTGCTTCTCCTAAACCACACTGTTTTATGCTGTGTATACACACACACACACACACACACACACACACACACACACACACACTCTTCGTTCTTCCAAACAGCCACTGTTTGAACTAGATATAACTATTTGTCCCATTTTATAAATGAAGAATGATTTATACATAAGGTAATAAACCTAGCATCTACACAGCTCAGTGTTCTGGCCATAATTTGGACCCTGACTGTCTTGTCACAGACTGAACTCTAACAACTAATTTATGTACTGATAGTGCTTGACAATATAGAGGGATAGGCCTGGGGTGTCTTCTTTAAAGGCACTCAAATTTACATTTAATTATTTACATGTTAAACTCTGTTAGTCAAAGAAAATATGTCCATAGTCAGAATTAAGACTGATGGGCCACCAGTTGCAATTTTTGATATAGTTATTAATTCACAATAAAAATTCATAAGAAAAGAATAAAATTTTTAAACCATGGATGCTTCTTCCAATTTATATAGAGAGTTTTAGCTACATTTACATGAGAGAATAGTCCCATTACTGACAGTTTGAGGAGATAAGAATTGTGTTCCTAAGTACTAGTTAATATTCCTATTTGATAGACAGAAACACTGTCTGCTGTCTAGAGCATCACAGAGATTTTTGGTCTTCTTTTACTCATCATTAGAGAGAGGCTGAGGCTTCAGATCCTCCTGTTAGTGGCCCCAGGATGATGGAGAAACATAGCAGAGACCTAAGAGCTCTTCATTTAGCCAAGACTTGTTAAGTACTTTCTCTGTCACTGTTGCTCATTCATTTCTTGGATACGGAATTTGTAAGGCCATGTCATTTATAAGATGCTTCATGAGCAGCATCATAAATGTATAAAAGAATACTCCCTATAGTGGTAGTCCTATTTTAATCAATTCTCATTGTTTTAAATTTTTCCAGATCAGGTTTCACCATTGCTGAAATTGAACCTATGGGAGTCTTCCAGTTTTCCCCTAGTTCAAGAAGTATCACGGTTTCAGAAGATATACAGATAATCAGATTACATGTGCAAAGACTGTTTGGGTTCCACAGTGATCTTATTAAAGTTTCCTATGAGACAACTCCAGGAAGTGCAAAGTCACTGGAAGACTTTGAGCCTATACAGAAAGGGGAAATGTTTTTTCAAAAATTCCAAGCTGAAGTTGATTTTGAAATAACCATTATTAACGATCAGCTTCATGAGATGGAAGAAACTTTTTTTGTTAATCTTACTTCAGCAGAAATTCAGGGACTACAAAAGTTTGATGCTAATTGGAGACCATGCCTGAATCTAGATTTCAGTGTTGCAGTGATCACAATATTGGATAATGATGATGTGGCAGGCATGGATGTTTCTGTCCCCTTGACAGCTGTGACTGTCGTAGTTGATACCACTCTCATTCTTATAGAAACTGATTCTACCACATATCCTGGCACAAGCGAGTTAACTACCATTCCTCAGACAACTGAGATGGCTGTCATCATTACTGAGAATACTGGTATGTCTGCCACCCCTGAGAATCTTGTCACCGTTCATGGTTCATCTACCATGCCTGAGAAGCCTGACATGACCACTGTAACTGCCAGTATTTCCATTCATGGAACTTTTAGTCTTGTCCCCCCCATTGTTTATGTTGAAGAGGAGATGAAGAATGGCACATTCAATACTGTGGAAATTCGTATCCAAAGAACTGGTGGGTTTGAAGGCAATGTCAGTGTAACAGTTAAAAATTTTGGCAAGAGATGTGCTTAGAAGGAACCAAATGCATTGCCTTTTCAGGATATTTATGAAACCTCCAACCAGACCTGGGCAGTTGAAGAAGAAGACTTTGAAGAACAAAGTCTTATCCTTATGTTTCTGGATGAAGAAAGAGAACGCAAAGTATCTGTTCCAATTTTGGATGATGATGATTCTGAAGGGCAGGAATTCTTCTTTGTGTTCCACACAGACCCTCAAGGGGGAGCACAGATTGTGAAGGGAAAAGATGCCACTGGATTTGCAGCTTTTGCCATGGTTATTATTGCAGGTATCTTTTAAGTGATGGAGGTAAAACATGTACTTTTGTGGCCCGGAAGTTGTAATAAGATCAATCTATTTAAGTTTAGCTTGAGACAGTGAATTACTTGAGTCACTAGAGTTAATATTTTTTAATTGGTTCTTTTTAGTGATACATAACAGTAGAAACCATTTTGATAAAATTGTACATGCGTAGAATATGTCTTAATTTTAACTGGGATCCCAGTCTTATGGGCATACACGATGTTGAGATTCACCTTGTCGTATTCCTATATGTACATAGGAAAGTTATGTCTGATCCATTCCATTGTTCTTCCCATTCCCATCCCCCTTCCTTTCCCTTGCATTCCCCTTTGTCTAATCCTCTGAACTTCTATTCCTCCCCATCTCCTTATTATGAGTTAGCTTCTACATATCAGAGAGAACATTTGCCCTTTGGTTATCTGGGGTTGGCTTATTTTACTTAGCATGATATTCTCTAGATCCATCCAATTACCAGCAAATGTCATACACACATTCTTATTTATGACTAAGCAATATTCCATTGTGTACACATACCACAATTTCTTTATCCATTCATCTGTTGAAGAGTACCTAAGTTGGTTCCGTAGCTTAGCTATTGTGAATTGTACAGCTATGAACATTGATGTGGTTGTACCAGTGTAGTGTGCTGATTTTAAATCCTTTAGATATATATCAAGGAGTGGAACAACAGGGTCAAATGATAATTCTATTCCTAGTTTTTTGAGGAATCTCCACGCTGCTTTTCAGAATGGTTACACTAAATTGCAATCCCACCAACAATGTATGAGTGAACCTTTTTTCCCACATTGTTGATAATAATTATTGTTACTTGTATTCTTGATACTTGCCATTCTGGTTAGAGTGAGATGAAATCTCAGTGTAGTTTCCATTTACATTTCTCTAATTGCTAGAAATGTTGAACATTTTTTCATATGTTTGCTGACCATTTGTATCTCTTCTTTTGAAACATGTCTGTTTAGTTCTTTTGCCTATTTACCAATTGGATTATTTTGTGGGTTTTTTTTTTTTTTTTGGTGTAAAGCTTTTTGAGTACTTTATATATCCTGTAAATTAACACCCTATCTGAGGTACAGGATGAAAGATTTAAAATCAGCATGCCACCAGTCACATCCGCATGGTCATATTATCCCGAGTTGTTCACTCTGCCTGTAAATGTACCCTTCATCTTTTTCTCACTTGGCTCTTTTTCTTCATAATATTTCAGTTTTAACTGGATCATTAATTTGCTGATTTCTCTCATCTTTAACTAATTTCATTATCTTTTCACATTTAGATTTTGGAAAGCACTTTTACAATAAAACAGGTTTGGCAGATTAGAAGTCTGGAGCATCTTACTAGAAACTTGACCTCAATTTGTTGTAGATATGGCAAGGAAAGCAAGCATTATTTTCATTAGATAATGTTAGGTGCTTCTGTTGTATAAACAAAAATAAATGAAGGCTCTGCCTGTGAGAAGCTTATAATCTACTTAAAGAGACCAAATCCCCACTGAAGGTGATGAGGAAACCATTGCTTCAAAACAGAAAATGCTAACACAGGTTCTGATGCAAGGCTAAGGAATGATGGCAGTGATCAGTTAGTGAGAATGGGGACTGGCTGAGGCAAGACCCACCAGGGCACCTGGACCAATGTAGCCCATCATGTGCTTGTTCATAAGACATGGACTCCACATTTGCTTACGTTTCACACCTGGGAAATAGAGCAGGGGCTGTTGACTATAAGCTTTCCTCAATCAGGACAGCTAAGAAGTTTCTGTGTCCTTAACTTAACCTAGTCTGTAGAAGTTCTGTCTGCTGGGAACCTCAGGAGTGAGATTTACAAGTGATGGATGTAAGCAGTTTTTGAAGGTGACTACTTTAGGGTCATTGCTTCTGGGATCACTTTGCAAAACCAGGTCACTGGGAAATAGAAAGCTGCTAAAAATGTACACGGGCATTTCTCTAGTCCTAGAAGCTCACTCATATGCTGGCCAGGATGTGAAGTGATTAGTATAGTATGGGGTCTGGTTTTATTCCAAAAGATATATTTATATCTTTTTTAGTTTGAAGGTTCCTGTAAACTTAAATGTTGCTCAGAAGAGTCAGAATTCCTTAGTAGTTTTGTTTTGTTCTGGGGTAAATAACTGAACATGTAACATGAACCCTTTTGGTCAGTCCACTTTTAGGAAGGTAGATGGGTTAAATGGAGCTCATTTATTCAAATGATATTAGTAAATGCTTACCAAATGTGAGCACTCTTCTTGGTGCTGGGAAGATAGTAGTAAGTGAAACAGCTGCTGCTGGATAGGTACCTTCTGTGAGGATACACAGACTTTAAAATTTCAAGTGCAATCAAATGTAAAGGAAGGTCTCATCAGAGAGATGAGTATATGTGTGTTAGGTGGGGAGGAGGATTTGGTGTTTTTCTTGAACTGTTTCTCAAGCTGTTTTCTACCTTGATGTTTTAGGGTAGATATTTGGTTTATTTCTAGTGAAGATCTTTAAACACTATAGCTCCCACTCCTCATTTCTGGATTTTTCACTTATGCTCTCTGAGTTGGCAAGATTCCTAAGGCATTGCAGATCTTGTAAATTCTTAAGTGTATTATAGCCTCCACTTTTCTTTTCAGGAAGTGATCTCCACAATGGAATCATAGGATTCAGTGAGGACTCCCAGGATGGACTTGAACTGGGGGAAGGAGCTGATATGAGGAGACTGCATCTTCTTGTCACAAGGCAGCCAAACAGGTGTGACTGATATGTGTGTGAGTGTATACACTAATTGGGATTCACACAATAGTGGAGACAGAATGAAACCTTGATAGTAGGCAGCATGGAATTTGATGTGTCAGTGTGCAGGTGCTGTAGTCCTTGATCTGGGATTTAACACATTTGGCTCATAATCATAATATAGGGCTGCCTCAAATGTTTCGTACTTCGTGAAGTACCTCACAGATGTCAGATTATGTAGGTCATCACTCCATCATATTTACTATTCTCTGAGGACTCCATATACCATTACACTCTGAGGGACACTTGGAGTAACAAAATTTTGTTTGCATTTAATAATATTGCAACAGCCTTGAATTCTGATGCATAAATATATTTGATATGCACGCACACACACACACACACACACACACACACACACACACACACACACATTTTCCTTTTTTCACCTAAATGTTTTGTGAAAATGTAGGTCATCTTTTGCCCTTTATTGTAATAACAACTATTTTTAACAACAGTGTTGTTTCATAGAGAAATTTTTGCTAAAAGATAAGTGGGTTCTCTTTATTTTTTACTTTCACTTTTTTGGTACATGATAGGCAAAAAATATTATTTGCTTTCACATTCTTGATGTAGAATAGTTCCACAAATGCTTATTCATTACTAATAGAGTGTAATTGAGGAATACTGTGTAGACCTTGAGCCTTAACCTTTCTGTCATGGGGAGAACTGGTCATTTTCAGCATTATCAGTGGTGATGAACTAGGTACCACACTGCTCATGTGTTTGCTTTGTTCACAGAGCCTTTGAAGATGTCCAGGTCTCTTGGAGAGTCATACTTAATAAAACAGCCATTGTTCTCCAGAAAGAAGGAGTGAACCTGATGGATGAACTTCTGTCTGTGTCAGGAAACATGACGTGTACAGCAGGTCAAACACAATGCTTCATCAGCCTTGAACTTAAGCCAGGGAATGTAAGAAATGACGAGGCACAAGGCGGTAAACTTCCAATGTTTCTTTAGAAGTAATCATTTTTAAATCATTTTATGGAAACTCAAGCATATTGTTTTTGTTGAATTTCTTTGTATCTTGCCTAGTTGTAATGTCAAAATCATTTTGCTGGATCACAGATTTTAGACTGAGAATTTACTGAGAATTTGAATTTTTCAATTTTTGTAAAATAAGCTTGTCAATATTTCTTTGTCTTTTTTTTTTGGTCCTCTGGCCCAGCTACTCATTGTGTAAACAATTCTTGAGTCATTTTCAACCAGATTAGTATTTCTGATTACTCTAACTGTTGAAAATCCATCCCTCCATTTCAACTCACTTGCATTTTTTCTGATGATTTATTGTTGGCTCTACATTAAAATGTATAAGATAATAATTAACTTAGGAAGCATGCTCTTAACTCATGAAATCTGCTTAAAATAAGCAGAATGTTTAAACATTTGTTGGAATTTTTAAAGAGCTTTTAGTAAGATATTGTATCCTTAGTATATTGGTTTTCTGCTTCTGAGCAGATCTGATCCCAGCAAAACTAATTTTATATTAGTCGGGGCAAAATATCACCCTGGAGTGCATCTGACTTAACTAGGAAAGAAATCTGCTAGCAGTTATACATAGAATGGGTTCTTGTAAGGTCTCCAGTCACATCTAGGAGTCTCAAGAGGCTCAGGTGTGATCTATGTGTCTTGTTTTCTCAGTAGATTTAAGCAATATTGTTGAATAGAATGTTTTTTTTTTTGAGAGAAGATACCTTTGCCTCTGGTCTAATTATGTGTAGGCACCATCTGTACACTGCTCAATTTTAGATAGTTCTTCACTTAGATTATAATATATTCTTTTTGACTGCAAGTGGTTGTAAGTAATGTTATAATCATCATGACAATGAAAAGGAATATTTTACTGGAAAATAAAGGAAAGAGTCTTTATATAATATGCTGAAATCTTCAGTTGAAAGAAATCATTGTGAATTCAAGCTCACTTGGTCATTAGGGAATAATAGCTCTTGAATATACTTACCCATACTTTTCTAGTGTTTTATTTTATGGTATTTGCTAAATTTGGCTTCTCAAAAGTGGAATAAATACAGTTATTTCTGTATTTCAATATTTGCTGACAGTTGATCAGAAAGAGTGAAGAATGATATGTACCATATGAAAGCTAAACACATTTCTTCACGTAGCAAAATGAAATTAAGGGTATTTATTGTGTGACTAAGATGCAACTTATTCTTGGATAATATGAAGGATTTCTTGTATTATTTCACAACATAATGATTATCATCAAAATGATCATGAAATGATCATGGTAGCACATGCCTGTAATTCCAGGGCTCAGAGGCTGAGATAGGAGGGTCACAAATTCAAGGCCAGCCTCAGCAACTTAGCAAGGCCTTAAGCAGCTTTGTAAGACCCTATCTCAAAATAAAATAAAATAAAGGCTGGGGATGTGGATCGGTGGTAAAGTACCCCTGGGCTTAAGGCCCAGCACACATACACAAAAATCACAAGTAATGAATAAGGTCCTTGCTGATAGATGAAAATGATGCATTGTATCAAATTAGACAATCTCATGAGCAGTTGAAAACCACATCAGCTTAGCTTTTTTGAGTCGTGCCAGGAAGCTAACAGTACTCCTAAGGTTTTTAGATTATGTATAAGAGTGAATAATTCATAATGACAAATGACTGATAATGTGTTTTAAAGTTGAATTCAGACTTTAGAAAATACATTATTTCAGAATGTTGAGAAAGTAAAGATGTAGAACAGAAGCAAGGTACAACTAACAGAATATATTTAGACTTATTTGAATTGAATTTTGTGAAATTTTGAAAAAAATATGAAATTATAGAATTTATTATTATCAATATTTGGTCCTATACATTTAAAGCTCTTTAAAAAGAAAAGATATCAAAGTAAAATCTCACAAAGTTAAAACCCTTTTTTTCCCCCATCCTCAGTGTTCTTCAACTCCATACCCTGTCTTGGTCTCTTCCTGCTACCTCCAACTGAGGCAGCTGCTGTCCTGAGTTTTCCTTTATTCTGTTTTTCTTTATTTGTTTTAATTCTTTGCATGAATATCCATTAACAACATATATTGAAACAGTGAATTTTTGGAACTTTATTCTTTCAGTATCTATTTATGTACCTTCATATATATATGTATTATATATATATATATATATATATATATTACTTCAAAACAATATTTTCACTCAGCATATTTTGACATCCATCTATGAGTCTTTTCACTATATCTCTATAATATTCTGTTTTATGAATACATTTTGTTTATCCTTTTGCTCATGTACTATGTCAAG